TTAACGGAAGAATGCCGCAACATAATAGTGAAAACTGCATTTAAATAGGTTCAGCCGTTTCTGAGATTATCGTGCACAAACGCACAGACAAACAGACAAACCGACAAAAAAAATAAAAATCATTGTTTTGTATTCTATTACGCTTATAAATGTCCCTTATAACAGTTTTTTTTATATATCTTCAATGTACAGACATTGATCGGTTACGTTTTTATTATAGTATAGATAGATAGATAAACGATATACTAACAAAAAAAAAACAGTGAAAAAGCATGAAGAACAAATATTTTTGGTAAAAAATAAAGCATATGTAGCTTTGGGCCGAGTTAGGTCTCTAGAGGGACTAATCATCAGTAGTTTATACCACCGCAAGTTACTTGATAATCCCCACGATATTAACTCCCTCAATGAAATAACTTGATTGCGAAATTTACTATCTTATAATGAAGTCAACGAATCGTAACTAAAAAGTATAGAAAAAAATAATCAATTTAAAGACAAACAAAAAGCCCGACTGCGGCAAAACTATTTTTAAAAAATACATGAAAAAATTAAATAAAATCTAAAAAAAAAAGAAACAAGCCCAGTAGTTTAGAATTCTGTTAAGTAATACAGAACAGAACGACTCATAGTCGGGACCCCTTGGGAAGATTTGATTGGAAAAATTTGAATGGGTGACTATGAGTCGTTCTGTTCTGTATTACTTAACAAAATTATAAACAACTTCATGCGTTGGATGAAGACATGCGATGTGTTGATAGATTGCCGTAAGAATTGAGATAAACCTTTTATAACAGTGGACATCTTCTGGCTAATAACATGATAATGATGGTGTTGATATCTGCCCGGCTCATAACATGATTTTGATGATATCTGCTATTATTTAATTACTAACAGAGAGTTTCATTACTAATCTATACTCAATAATATTATAAAGAAGTCAGCTTTTGTTTGTTAATTTTCATTGAATAGGCTCCGAAATTACACGACTGAATTTTAAAATTCTTTCATCTACAGGAAACTATATCATATGCTGGTGACATGGCTGTTAGTCACGCGGGCGGATTCGCGGGGTAACAGCTGGTAGTAGGAATAAGAAAAGTTTATGTGGAATGCTTTTAGAATGTATTTAACAAGGTAGTTATAATGTAAATTTGAAATAAATATTAACTATATACTTTTAATGCGGGAAAATTTAGAAAGGCCGATTTAAATTCGAGTGATAAAGTCGTACTGGGTTCGTGACTGGAATGGATAAAGTCTAAATCGGTTTTCTTGTTCCCCTAACTGGCTAAATAAATTGTTATTCCAGTTGTAATTGAGTATTTTTTATCTTTGTTCTGAGGTTTATGAGATTGTTTTTTTATCTTATCCTTTAATTTTAAAATTATAATAAGTATTTAATCAATTTTACATTCATAATGCTATATTGGTAAATATCCTTAATGAAAAATGCTATTTAAAATTGTATTTCACGTCAATTAAATGGTTTTTTTAAGACCATTAAATTTTAATATCCCGATTTCAAATGAAGTTGCATTGATTAGCTTTTGTAGTTAGTAAATAGGTATAAAATTTTTGGGCGCTTTAGATTTTATTTTGTGATAAACGAGTTATGAACTTTATCCAGTCCTCATGAAAATTATAAGGGACCCTCTTGAGAATAAACCTTTTCAAACAAAGATCACAAAAGTCCAGTATTGGTGAAGGTACGTGGGACAAACACAAAAACCCGAAAGAGTCTAATTGATGACCCCCTCTTTTGAATTCGGTTAATAAACGCGTTATAAGGATTCGTTGCCAACAGTAACGAGTGCAACTTGTAGCTAAGACACTTATAAGCTTCTTGGTTGTAGCTATGTGCGTTTTTCGACTCGGGGAGGGGAAATGTTGCGAGAAGTGGTGGGGAACCAGAGATCATGGTTCGTAAGCGGCAAGGGATGCGGTTTATTTTCTCGATCCATAGCTATCATTAACAATTATAATTGTAAGTATTAACAGCCATTTATTATTGAGTAGCTCGTTGGCGTAGAGAATAAGCGATGCGGCCCACGATCGTTGTTGTTAAGCAACTCAAAATCAAAAATCTGTCCTTGTGCCGAGTACAACTATTCTTTTTGTCACATTAGCAGAATAGGGTAAAAAAAAAGAAATTTATATATACTCCGTCAGTCAGATAATATAAAAATTTTAGATACATTGTTTTTTGCTACAATTTAACAAGCAATTAAGTTGAGGAGTGGGGGCTCGCTGTATTACAACTATGTTGAAAATTTACAAAAGCGTGGCGACATGCGACATTTCAACTCAAAATATCGCCATAAAATATGGGTTACGTAAACAATAAAAAATACTTATTTAATTTTCTTCGATTTCAGACTATCAGTTAGACGAGACGGACAGACAAAAAAGTCATCTTCCGTATTGAGCCTCTGCAATGTTGTTTATCATCGACGCTTGTTCTTATTCCTGGGTTTTGCATACCTTCTACCTTTAAAAAAGTTTCTAGTGGACCTATACAAAGTGAGCCGTATAATTAAAAAAAAAATACATAGTTTACGATAAATTTGCTATAAGTGAATTGGTTATTGCTTCTCTTATGAACGATCTTTGCATAGCATTTCGAGCTCGTAGTAAGACCTCAATGTTTAATTATAGCAGATATGATATTTACAGCATTATTATAGCCCAGTCATGTTATATAGTAGCTACGAGATTGCTAGTTTCAAATGTCCCGCAGATACTAGGGTATACAATGTTTATCTCATAAATCTATGCATTTACAACTTAATTAACTAGTTTCATATGCAATTATGGTCGCAATATAGTTTTGTAGTAAGCTTGTTAAATATCTACTAATGAACGACGAACGAGTTATGAGATAGTTTAATCGTTCATTTACATCACACTCACATTAATATCACAGTAAAATAAAAAAGAAGTGGAAATAATTTATGTTATATTTCCCGCAAACTGCTAATGCGCTTGGCCGCCATTTTGATGTAATTGCGTTCAAAAATCGGTACGGTTATCAAATAAACACTGGTCGACGGATATACTTATTGAGTTGGCTTGTGTTGAGATCACACATCACTTTTGTTATGTTTTTGTCGGTTTCGATTGTTATTGTTAAGTTTTGTTTTTGCTTGTTTTTTATTAAAATAGCAATTGCTATTACGAGTTTCACAATAAGTTAACATAATATCACTAAAAATAAATATATCTACTGAGACATTATTTCATTTCATTATCTTTTTTGGTTATGATTAAAAAAATGTTTGTTATCGCGTTATTACAAAGTAAAGGTTTTTTTTTATATATTTTATTTTACATGTACCTCAATATTTATTAAATTAATACTTTTCCAAAAATAAACTAAAAGTTTTTATAACAATATTTTAGGGATTATTCATACATATCATTAAAAAACAATTTATCTCTTGCCTTTAACACGTCTATATTTTCTATTTTCATATGACGTCATTCGGGTGTTATTGGACAAGGTTCCAATGCATTAGCAATTAACGGGATTCATACAGCGACATTGCATACTCATAACGTAGGAATATTAACATTATTGGTTACATATAACATGCATTGACCGAAAAAATCTTGCAGAAGTCTTGTAATGAAAAAAGGGTAACGTATCTATGATCTAAGATTTAAAGCAGTTAAAAAAACAGAAAACAACAACAAATTACCAAGAAATTGCGCAAAAAAAGTTAAACCTACTTTTAATTCACCGTTCATGTTGGTAAAAGTTGCCAACCGAACGCCGCAAGAATTCCAATATAATGCTGAAGGAGGAAAACTATTTGAATAAAATCCTTTTGTTGCAGCGCAACTGTCGCGTTCGTTCGCCATTATTCGGGGTGTGAGTTCACGATGAAAATCTGGGGAATAGCTTTTATAACCAGCTGTCGTGAGTACAATTAAAAGTGCTATCTAGAAATGGGTTTGAGAGTGCTATCACCATATACGTGTCTTTTCAAAAGTTTCAAAACTGTTTTCCTCGTTTTCTTTATTCAAATTAATTCTAATAGTGCTCCTACAAAATTTGTAAGGTGCCTGGTTTTGTAAGCAGGAAGTTTAGTTTCTATGAAGAAGTAATTTGCGAAAAGTATGTACTTTTGATTATTTTATAAAAACAGTTTTTGAGTATTTACTTCAATTTAACTTTAATTCAATTTAATATGAACAAAATTGGTTAAGAGCAAGTCAACTCGTGCGCAGTGTGCTTCGCACAATTATTTAAATTTAAAAACCACAGACTTCTTTTTGGTTATCAATATATACATATATATTATTTTATAGTTAGCCCCGTAAAGAGACTTAACAAAAAAAAAATATTGTTCAGTTCGCAGATTTGATTTTAATTAAAATCTTGTGAATCATTAATTTTTGTACATATTTGTGTATTTTATTTTCATTCTTACATTTTAGTTTAATTCACCCTTAGCTATTCTATTTTATATTTAATATAAATGCAAAGATCTTAATATAAAATCTAAATCTAATTTTAATATAAATATCTACTTAGAGTACATATGTACAACAACATGACGGGTTACTGCATAAGGTCAAGTTTCTGTAATCAGTTTTGTACTTAATTATCACCAGATTTAAGTTTACAATGGATCGAGATGGTCTTTTGCAATATCAAAATATATTGACTTTCTATCAACTGTACATTTTAAATTAGGTACTTTGCTTAAGACAAATCAAAAGTAAATAAAAATGCAAGGTTGTCGGACAATTTCAAGTGAATCTTTGGGCTACTTTTAAAATCTATATTTTTAACACAGATTTCTAAATTAGGTAGTTAAAGACCAACCGCTTGAATGAATCCTCGCCCATGGGGTACGTGGGTACAACGATAAAGGTGAGAATGTGAGATAGAAGAGGCGCGCACAATATTGTCATATTACTCATTATCAATTCGCATTGCGATTAAAGAACATTCGAGTAAGCAGTTGTGTACGATTTATGGTAGTAAAACTTGCAAAATGTAAAAACGTCGTAAGTGAGTAGTCAACAAAGCGGTAGATCTTTAATTTGTAATACAACTTAATTTCACATCATTTAACGTTTATTTTTCTAGGAATATACTCTATATTAACATTTTCTATTCGCAACTGTATCCGTTCTTTACCAAATTTCATTCCACCTTCACCAATAACAGTTTTCAACTCAAAATTATGGATTATATGAGCCAAGCTGCACTTCACTTGAAGTTTTGCGTATCGCATGCCGATGCACGTTCTGGTTCCAAAGCCGAAAGGCTGATAGAGAACACCATTATTTTGTTTGACTCCAGAAAATCTATCAGGATCAAACATGTATGGATTATCAAAGAATTTAGGATTATAGTGAAAATCATATATAGGGAGCCATAGAGTAGTACCCTTATCAATTTTAATATTACCAACAGGTAATACCGTGTCCTCCATACATCGTCTTGTAGAAAAACTTATCGGAGGATACATTCTCAAAGCTTCATTTATAACATTGTCCAAATACTCAAGTTCGGTTAAAGCATCAAATGGCAATAGTCCGTTGTACTTATCAAATATTAAATCAATTTCTCCCTGAAGTCTTTCTTTTATTTCAGAATGTCTGCTTATTTCAATCATGGTACATAAAATAGTAGTCGCTATTGGTTCTACACCTGCAATAAAGAAAAAGAACCCTTGAGCAGCCAACAGCTCGTCCGTCGGTTCCATCTCTAGACTACCGTCTTCATTCTTCATAACATCATTCTTCTGGATGCTCAAGCAAATGTCAACAAAGTCATGCTTCTTTACATTTTCTTGCTCTCGTTGTCTAAAAACCTGTTTCATCGCACCAATGAAAAATGGTTCAAACTTTTTAAATAATCGTAATTTTAATGCCGTGAATAGTTTTGGAGCTACGCTTGCGAGAGCAAATTTTATATTATTCTGAAATGTAGATCTCATCGCATTTCTAGCCATTTCCAGGAATGGAGAGTCAAATATGGATTTTGTGCTGACTCCAAAAACAGCAGCTCCAACAGCTGCACTGCAGAACATATTTAACGTATTGAATGTGTCCTTAGCCTCTCGCTTGTCAGGATTATTATTTAAGTAGTCAATAAAGTCCAGAGCGCTCTTATCCATGATATAATACATGTTCTTTAACTTTGAAGACGTAAATAGCGGAGTCATCTTTTGTCTCATGAGCTTCCATCTAGCGCCACTCATAAAGAGTATGTTATCTGCCAAGTAATCGTCTTCAAGGTAATTAACTCCTCTATCGATGAACATGGGTCCCTGCAATACATACCGGACATTCGTCACATCTGTGACGTATAGGGCAGGTGAAGTTATAGATCCAAAGCCAACGGCGGGTTCATCAGAATACTTCGCATACAAATCTGCTAAGATTTCAAACATAGATTGTTCACCAATAAGGAAATCCCACAAAGGTCCCATCACTTTATTCCTGTTGTCAAATTTTACTCCTCGCTTTTTCCAGTAGTTCTCATTGTAGAGTCCTTTAAAATATATGAATGTCAATACACAAATCACTACAGATAATAATATAAGCACGATCATTGTTCCTGTAGGTAATCCACAGCTATACTAACGAAACAGTATTAATTTCATTATTATATAAATAGCTTTTCTAATAACAGGTAACGTGTTTGAGTTGAGTCACGGTCATTAAATAATATTTTAAATAGTTTTCATAATCAATTCGTAGATATTATGTTAAAGTAATTAGGTCACATTACACAATACTCCACAACTAATGTTCCAAATCACAGATGTAGTAATAGTTAATAGTAGCTTGATATTATATGGGACATCAAATAACTACAAGTTCTTTCGACATACCTTATAATAACTCGAAAATGGAAAGTTATGATGCTCCTCCATTTACATGGTACTTACCAACCTTCTATTCAAGTTCGTTATTCGTTGATATGTTGTATGTTTAGAAATGAAAAAAGTGCAAAAATTAGGAAGACCGAATAAAAATAAACAAAATTAGTGTAGAAATGTGCTAGGAGATCTGAAATTAATATACTTAAATACATATGGCAATTCAGTAGAGTTGATGCTGCCACCATAGCAGTAATATTGATAACTAAACTTGATTGAAGATTTATTATTGATAATTTATATTGAAAATTACATTCAAACATAGTCAAAGAAGAAATCTAACCGAAACGTTATCAATGTAGTGGAAGCCACAATCACGATCGGCGAGTCGTAAACTGGAAAAAATAGTTGTTCGAATTTAGCGTGGTAATTAAAAGAGTTTCACTTGACATAAAAATCAAACAAGTTTTTTAAAAATAAAATTAATTTGAAATCGAATTTAAAGGTTATTTCCATAAAAACTTATACAGGTTAATGTGGAAGATGGATATCGATTGATCTCCGACCAATATTGATACTTAGTTTTACAAGAAAAACATTAAATAATTACGCTCCGTGATGTCATGACTCGGTAGAATATCAGTATAGCGGGCCCTGCCTGACCGTTTGTCCCCCTTTTTATGTATTTTAATTATATTACCGTCGTGATGTGTTATGTGGTTTTCAAATAATAAATCTTTCTTTATTGTAATATCAACCTTCAAATCTGGTCATCATACGCATCAACACAGGAACCGATCCAATGGAAATATTCTTCTGGAAAACTCGTGACATATGAAATCAGGAGAAATGCTTTGGCTTGGATAGAGAGTTATGTTAAGGATAGACAACAATGCGTTGAAATATCCCATTTCACTGCACAATTTAAAAACATAAATTGATCTAGCTATCGTTTCAACAGGTATGGTGTGCCACAGGGTAGTGTCATGGGGCCATTGTTGTTCTTAGAGTATATAACTGACCTTCCTGATGTCTGTGATTTCATTTGGTATACAGACGATACAACACTCATTTTAGAAGAAACGAGTAAGATGATATTAGAAAACATATTCATGACTAGGTAAATCAATAAGCGGTTGAAATTGAATAGATACAACCCTGAAAATTAATACCAGTAAGAATTAATTTATCTACTTCAAAACAATAAATGGTGGTATTAAAATAAAAGCATTAAAATGACATTGGAATTGTAAAAATAACGTCTTTTTTTGTCGTGTATGCTCTAAACCAACTCAAATTCACTAAAACATTTTCATTTCATTTCATTATTTTCCTTATAATTTCTTCTCCTAGTATGAAATCATTTTTTTTCAACACTCACAAACACACCTTCCAGCTAGCACACAAGTCAGATAAAAGCAAAACGATTATTCTTAATACAAAATTCTTAAAAAATCCACTTGGTCCCTGGCACCCTGAGATGGGAATTGAACCCACGACCTTTCGCAATCCGGTCGACTACTCTAACCACTGAGCTACCCAGGACCTAACAGGACTGATGAATCTTTCAAGCACTTGTTATTTTTCGCTACTAGAGAACGTATTCTCATCAATGTTCAGGCATTTACCCAAACAGCCGAAAGAAATATTGTTACAAATATTGAAACTATTGAAGATAATTAGAAAAAAAATCTCATCTTTAAGCTGTATAGTAATCATAAGTGGGACAATAAAGCATACTATATTCAAATAAATACAACTCAGATAGCTGAATAGTAGCTGAAAATCCAGAATTAATCAGTATAAGTTTGACAAACGGATTCTAACCAGTTTCCTTCAGAATTATCATGGACATACTTGCTTTAAGCTTGCGTTCAAACATACTTGCGTTCAAAAAACCATAATAAAAAGCAGAATATTTTTTTTACAGCTTTTATGCAGCTAACACGTGCATAGAAGAAAATAAGTGATGTTTTTAACTGAACTTATACAGCGAGTATACCTTATTAATTAGATTTAAGCAAATAACTGTCTTTATATTCAGTTTAAAGCAATACGATTTAGAAATTTAACATTGTAATGCAGAAGTAATTGCATATGAGAAAATTCTGAGGTCGTATCCATACAATATCTGAATAATGAATCATGGATTGACAGTTAGGCAGAAATATGTCGGATAATCACTCCATGAATGGACTATATTAAAAATATTTTAAAGTAAATGCACTCTCACGGTTACGTTTCGTGAAAAAAAAAATTCATTTAAAATAAAAAATAATATTTGTACAGCACCAGAAACGAGTTTAACACGTACAAATAATATTAATACAAAAAGTATGAGTTTTTGTATACTCGATGAAGGTTTTTTACATCACAGGTCATATTTGGGGATAAAGTTTAAAATTCAAGTGATCTTGAAGAAGATGAGACAGAATAAAAAAAAAAAACATGAATTTCGCAATAATCTTAGAAAATGGGCAGTGAGTATAAATACAGGAAACTGTAAAAGACTTACAAGCCGTATTAATCAAAGATTTCCAGGAATTTTACCTACACATCATTCCAAAATCTTTGTTGTAAACTTCCAGAAAAATAACAGTGAAAGAAATAAAAGGTAGAGAATATTGGCATAACGGTTTTGTCAAACCATTCAACAACATTTTGAATATTTGGCTAGATGTCCCAAACACTATACATTTGAATATTAATATCAAGAATTTAAATATCAAGAAAGCACCGTAGCGACATCTAGTTTGATTTTGAGAACTACCTTTTTTTAATACTTCCTCATTGGGTTTGTGTATACTATCGATTGGGGAGTTGTACTAATTATTCACAAAATATGTAAATAAAAATAAGCGCTTCTTTTAACATAAAAAGTAATTGAATGTTTGTTTCTACACAGTTGATAATTAAATAATATTAAGTCGAAAGAATTGGATTTTGTAAAAATACTAGTCACATTACTTACGGCGCTCAAATCTGTAAAAACACTTTAAAAATTGCGTGGACCTATTTATCAACACATATTTATTTGCGTAATGCGTCATCTTGAAAATGATAATTATATCAGTACATCAATAATCAAAACTGTGCTATCATTATGAAAATTTAAAGTACTATATATTGCCGCCACATTAAATTATTTCTAATACACAAATCATTTAATAATACTTTTCATTTGTGGTAGACTTTTTCTGCGGCATTGGCTAAATAATAAAATCAATTTTGGTCTTGCTTCCGATGAAAGTTGTTTATTCTCTAATACCTTCACCGCCTTCATAGTATCCTCAGCACATATACAATATTACAAAAAATCCAGTGCACCATTTTTTTGAGAGAACTGCGGGATCAGTTCATCTCTATAGGTTCTCATTCGGTCTTGTTAATAGAGTCACTGTTGGTCGGTTTTGATATCTCGGCAGTGTTATGAGCTGAAAGTACTTTGGAATCTAAAGGCTACAAACAATTTATGCACTATTTATTTGAAGACAGCCTATTTTTTTCATAAAATTGTGTTTTGAGAGTAAAAGCGTAACGGACTGACAGGCAAAGTTATGGTTGCATTTATATTATTAGTAGGGATCAAATAATAAACAGTTGCTGACATCATAAATCAGTTTGAAAATTTTATTTTCAATTTCATACAATTTCTGTTCAATCATACATTCACCCATAAGTTTAGATATATAGTTGACTGTAACTAAAGAGGTATGACGTCTGTAACTTATGAAGGCCTATTCTATTTCATCACCAACATCACCAGCTAGTTAATGTCCACCGCTGAAGCTCAGGCCTCCCCTATGGATGGAATCGAATAGAGAGAACGGTCTATGACCTACCACGCGGGCCCTATAAACGAATGCAACGTGCATAATGTGCCTTTCGAACCACAGAAATGCCTGAGATAATAATTTTAGGTCACCCATCCTATGACAGGCAATTACAAAAGCTACTTAACAATCGTATTGTAGATCAAGATCCGTATAAAGCGCGCTAACCACTGATTTTTTAAATGCTAATAGGACATGACAAAGAAAGGCGGTTTTGGATAATTCATGATGCAACGTAGGTAGGACTTGACTTTGCCTCTGATACACAGACAATTTTCATGTACATGATTTAAATAAAGTAATAAGAACGTGTTCAAGGACAAATAGAATAGGCCCACAGGTGTCAATTCGTACGAGTTATAGATATAATTCTATACTAGTAGAAAAAAAATGTTATTATGTACTGTTTACCAACTGATCTCATTATCACAAGGCGAGAGAAGTGCCGCCTAGACAGCTTACAGAAGAAATTGAAAATCTTTTCTTTGAAACATAAAATGTCAATACTTTGTCACCATACAAACTTTATACTATTTTTTTAACGAACTTTACAGTCTTTTGACGTAAAAAATTATAATCGAAAACCCAAAATATAGATACTCTATAATATCGTGTTATAATTTGCGGTTCTTTTAAAAATAGATTTCATTATAAAAGCATATAAAAAATACTTCTGTAACAACATTTTGATTTTTATTCTTAGCTTTCATCTTGTTTACGTTATCATAAAACGTTGCGTTACTGACAACATTTATGATGTTGGTTCTAATTTCCGGCGGATCAAATATTTTGTTTGTGTCATCTAAATTCTATCCCGATTGGGCTTAACAGTATTCGTCAGTTCAAATGTATTTCTTATCAAATATTCTATTGTTTCTATAGACAAATCTTATTCTATATTACTTGGTTTCTCAATCACGTCGTCTAAATTATCATTACCGGTCTCTAATGAAATATTTCGACGGATGTTATTACTTATTTCTTGGTAGAAAGGTAATTATTTGCATTTCGATTGAAGATTCTTCTTTGATTTAATTTATTGATGTCATATTTTAGATTTTCGATACAATCGTCAGTTTCAATCCCGAGTATGTCTGACTCTGACTTCATATTTTTAACTTGTTACCTTAGATCGCATCGGAATTCGGCTTTGGGGATCCTTTTGTATTTAAATAAACTATTGTACATATTTTTCAAAGGAGCAATAAGGAAGTTATTGGCAATTGCCTAATTGGAAAAACAACATTTCAGTGAGAACATGCTCACTTATTTTAACAAGAGGGAGTATAAATCTATACTACAGTAATAGTATTAATAGCTGGATGGAACCGTGGTTAGGAACTGACTCTGCGATATGGTTGCTATGCAACTTTCGTAAGGCCCGGTCATAGGATGGGTGACCGAAAATTTATAAATTTCTTAATTTCGATAAAAATAAGGTACAAGGTAACAGTGACCATGACCATGAAGGTTTAAAATAACATAAGTTCGAGTCGAACATGCAAATCATACACACTAACTGCCTATTAAATTATAAATAAACAGTACGTGAATAAAACCACTAGTCATTATTGCATGTTAATGATGACTTGTGGTTACATATCTTTAAAGAACAAAACATTTAAGTAAATAAGTGTTATATAAACAAGAAGTTGATAACGATATCGAACTATTGTCTTATGACATTACAGTTTCATTTTGATTGAGCAATATTACTCACCTATCATCCTTGATAATAACTTTTTACATAAATATTTGTCGATATTTGATTCATATAATATGTCGTGAGCCAATCGTTGGGTTGGTCCGATCGAGATCTGCCCAAGTAAAACATGATATGCCACAATTTCTTGATTTGGCCATCTATCATCCGCCATATCGTTCAATGCTTAACGTTTGACCATTTGCCCGACTATAGTCAGGCCAATATTCTGTTGGGTGTCCAAAGTACTGTGTAAGCAGAGGTGGGCAACAAACCGGATTTTTCCTACCGCCCATCTCTGTATGTGAGCAAATAAGATGAAGTTCAAATAATAATTATTTGGTTGGTATATAAAAAAGGCTGTTATAATTGATTGTTACTATGTTTACAAAAAAACTAAACGTTTCAAAATTAACTCAAATTTAAATACAATCAAGTTACAATCTGAAGTACATAGAACCACATATTTCTTAATTATAATATTTTAAAAGCTCAGTGTTAGTGTTACCCTTATGTTATTGTCGATCTGCCAAACTTTTAACCGGGCCGATCGTGATTTTCCTGACCAAATCAAGAAATGGCGGCATATCGTGATATGCCCGGGAAGATCTCGATCTGCCCAATCCAACGATTGGCCTACCACATATACTTAAAATTAAATAAGTAATTAGCGTTATATCTCAGTTGGTAGACTTTTTTCGATGTCAACGACATCATCAACATACCTATACCTATAAAGTATTATTAAATTTTAACAGATTTCAAACGTGAAGAGGTTATCAATGGCACAAATTAAATGTTTTTATTTTCGTACGTGTATTGTATGATTTCTTCTTCAATCTGTACCGATTTTATGGAGTCTTTTATTTGAAAGGGTTTATTCCCAAGGGAGTTGTTTAAAATTTGTATTAATAGTGTATTTGTACACCTGAAAAATTAGTAAAATTAAATAAAAAACTGAAACCGAATTGATTAAAATTAACCAAAACTTAGCTCTAGAGGTCTTAGCTCTAATTAACTACAGAGGAGTTTAACAAATTCAAGTGACATCATTAAGATCTGAGTTATATGCACTCGGGAATATACTTTAGTAAGGAATTCCAATCTTTTCATGGTTAATAGTATGAAACATGACGAAACATTTGTGCGGTGTTTTTTGGTTTCTTTGAATGTTTAGATGTTAGGATGTTTGTCTGTCAATCACGCCGAAACTACTGAACGGATTTTGATGAAATTTGGTATACAGATAGGGTGTTAGCTGACTTAGATAATAGGATACTTTTTCTCCCACTAAACATTTCCCTAGGGACCACGCGGGCGAAGCCGCTGGTGAAAGCTAGTATTGAAATATTGCGAACTATTCATGGACGCAGATAATTCATATTAAGAAGTCAAATAAATTATGGTGTAGCTCAGTGGTGTAGTGGATAAGCGCCGCGGCCTACGGTCGTTGTTGTTAAGCAACTTTCTAAATGATCGGTCACGGGATGGGTGACCAAAAAAGATCATCTCGAGCTACTCTGAAATAGCGTTAGCGCGGTCGGCATGGAGAAATGACACTAACTTCCAGGTTGTAGATCTCTATTCAACTCACCAAATAATCAACTTATATGCTACTTATCATATCAAAGTGAAGATATAGTTTGAGATCGTGCTAGCACTCTGGGTAAAGGCTGAAAATCAGCGCTTTGCTCCTTGAGCAAAGGAATCGTTGAGCTTTTACCCTTTTGCATTGTTGTGGCGCATACGTTAAAGCGAATTTTTTTTATTGTATATTTTTTTTATTGTAATAGAATTTTATAATGCATGTGTGCTATTTTAATAATGCAAATAAATATATTATCTATCTATCTATCTACTTAAACTAAAAGGGATATTAAGAGTACGTGATACATATTACCGATAAGGAGGCAATTGTTGATCACGTATAAAACGTGATAATATTTGCATACTGCAACTCCGTTCTTCGGAAGCATTTGCAGTCGTCAACATCATCCAATCCGCAATGGCAGCACGCTTGTAGCCCCTCTGGTGTTGCAGGTGTCCATGGGCGACGGTAATCACTTACCATCAGGTGATCCGTCTGTTCGTCTGCCCCTATCTCATAAAAAAAATGGGCCAACGTGGAGGGTCATGGCCCATCTTCCTTAACCATCTATAAGGAAGCCCCTGCAGTAGGGATGTAAAAGGGTTGATGATGAAGAAGTCAATTATACAATCTTATGCTTCAATTCCCAAATAGTGGTAATAGCCCTCAAAAAGTCTGTAGTTTTGGTATGCAGTTCTTTTTTAGGAAAATATTTTCTACTTAAGAACGAATTGTCGCTTACTCGAGTCCAGCTTCCAGGCATATCCCAAAAAAAAGCCACCTTAGACTAGAAGGTGGCTTTTTTATTTTTTTTGGGATATATTGATAGTCAGGCTGAGAACGTAAAGAGAATAAGAAAAAATAATCAACGCGCGACTATTCACTAAAAATAAACATTCAATCTATTTCTATTTGCTATTTGTTAATCAAACATAGAAAGACAATCACAAGTATAAGTGAAATTTAACTAAAAGTTGTTAAAAGCAGTCCCAACAACTTGGTTAGATTAAAAAAATGAAATGAAAATGCAAAATTTTTCATAAATCACATATTTTTGTTGAAATCAAGTTTTACGGTCAGTGTTGTGGTATAAATACTATAAATATCGTAATTTTACCGTGGTATGTTAAATTTGGTGGAAAAGGAAAAAATTATAACAATTATTTTGGACATAGAACAAAGGATATTTTTTTACTTCACATTATTTCTTTATAAATTAAACAATAAAGCAAAGTATCAAAAGATTCAGTATATTGTATTGATTGCTGAGATGTCTTTCTTTGCCTATCATCACATTATTGACACTTAATTTTTCTAGGACTGTACTCAATGTCAACATTTTTTATCCGCACCTGTACCTGTTCCTTACTATATTTTATTCCACCTTCACCAATAATAGTTTTCAACTCGAAATTGTGGATTATATGAGCTAAACTACACTTCACTTGAAGTTTTGCGTATCGCATGCCGATGCATGTCCTGGTTCCAAAACCAAAAGGTTGGTAGATGACGCTATAATTTTGTTTATCATTAGAAAACCGATCAGGATTAAACACATGTGGATTTTCAAAGACTTTATGATCATGATGGTATTCATATATAGGAAGGAATAAAGCTGTACCCTTATCAATTTTTATATTACCAACAGGTAATACCGTGTCCTCCAGACATCGTCGTGTCGAAAAACCAATCGGAGGATATATTCTCAGAGCTTCGTTTATCACATTGTCTAAATACTCTAGTTCGGTTAAAGCATCAAGTGGTAATTGTCCATCGTACTTATCAAATGTTAAATCAACTTCCTCCTGAAGCCTTTTTTGAATTTCGGGATGTCTACCTATTTCAACCATGGTGCCAAATACAGAAGTCGCTACTGGTTCAACCCCAGCAATAAAGAAAAAGAACCCTTGAGCAGCCAACAGCTCGTCCGTCGGTTCCATCTCTAGGCTACCGTCTTCATTCTTCATAACACCATTCTTCTGGATGCTCAAGCAGATGTCAACAAAGTCATGCTTCTTCACATTTTCTTGTTCACGTTGTCTAAAAACCTGTTTCATCGCACCGAAAAAAAATGGCTCAAACTTCTTGAATAACTTCAATTTCAATGCTTTAAAGATTTTTGGAGATATGTTTGCTACAGCAAACTTTAAATTATTCCCCAAGTCTGACTTAAGTGCTTTTCTTGACATTTCCAGAAACGGTGAATTGAATATAGATTCACTGTTGACTCCAAACACAGCAGCGCCGACAGCGGCACAGCAAAACGTAGTTAAGGTATCGAATGTATTCCGAGCTTGTTGTTTTTCAGGGTTTTTATTTATGTAATCAATAAAGTCCAAAGCGCTTTTATCCATGATATAATACATGTTCTTTAATTTCGCTGACGTAAAAAGTGGAGTCATCTTCTGTCTCATGAGCTTCCAACGAGCGCCATTCATAAAGAGTATATTGTCTGCTAAGTAATCATCTTCAACGTAGTCGAATCCTCTATCGATAAACATGGGTCCCTGCAACACGTATTGGACATTTCTCACATCTTTGACGTATAGTGCAGGTGACGTTACAGTGCCAAAACCAATAGCAGGTTCCTCAGGATACTTCACGTAAATATCAGTCAAGATTTGAAACATCGCTCGGTCACCAACAAGGAAGTCCCAAAAAGGGCCCAACACTTTATTTCTGTTCTCGAATTTGACTCCCCGCTTTTTCCAATAGTTCTCATTATACAATCCTTTGAAATATGCTAATATTAATACACAAATCATTAGCAATATTAATATAATTAAATACATTTTTACTGTTCGCAATCAACGAAGGAATTAACGAAAATATTGACGCTCTTCTTTATATAAAGCTTCTTCTGTTCATAGATAACGTTATTGCTAATTCATTTTGATATGTTCTTAAATATTTTTTTTATTGATAAAGCAGAAAAAATATCGGCGTAGTATTTTTACTTATAAATGTTTATTAGTTTGCAAGATCAAGTTTCTTTTTCTATTAAATATTTAGTTAGCTTTGGTTATAAGATCATATAATACCATGTCATGTAACCTCTTTGCGATGGTAATGGAAATCAATTTCATAATCAAAGCGTTTTTTTGTTCTGTTAATTTGAGTACAAATAACACTATCGATGAAATGAGCATTAGTTAGATCTAAACGTTGTGTTCTTGCTATAGCCGTTTGTTAGTTTATTTTAAATGCACCTTTAGACCATTTAATGCCGCGTCCGCACACTGTTCCCAACCTTAGTAAGTGTCAAATTTGTAGGTAAACTATTGGGTAAATACTGGAATCGAATAAAATACGCACATCAAACCGTGTCAGAGTCTCTTGATAGACTCCTTTTATTTACATATTTAATTACAAAAAGTATAATTATATTCTAAATATTAGAATATATATAGGATAGAGCGCTCGTTCAGCGATACGATTTTATATGAAACTTTTGCGATGGCTGGTCACAAGATAGATCACCAAAAAGTTTACTATCTCGAGCTCGTTAATCCCGGCTTCATCTGCAGTAGTTAATACCTACCAGTCTACACTGAATTCGCGTGGTGGTACCTTATTCGATTCCATCTATAGGGAAAGCCTGAGCCTCAGCAGTGGGGATATTAATAGGCGATGATATAGTTTTCAGTAGCTCGGTGGCGTAGTGGATAAGCGCCGCGGCCCGCGATAGTAGTCGTTAAGCAAACTTTCGCAAGGGTCGGTCACGGGTGACTAAAAACTTATTATCTCGAGCTACTCCGTGCTTCGGAAGGCAAAGTTAAGCCGTTGGTCCCGCTGCATTTGCAGTCGTTAATACCCTCCAATCCGCATTGGACCAGCGTGTAGGGTCATGGCCCATCCTCTTTAACCATCCATAAGGAAGGCCTGAGCCCCTGCAGTGGGGATGTAAAAGGACTGGTGATGATGATGATATAGTTTTCAGATTTGCTCTTCAAATTGTACTATAGAATAATATTACTTGTAAAAAATTGTAGTTTTATGTCATATGTGAGAATATCGATAAGCGTTTCGCGACAAACGGAAGGAGGTATCTTTTTTTACGTTTATTTAGAAGTTTTAGTTTTTAAAAGCTTTAAGGCTCTATATATCTATGTATAGTTTTATATCAACTCGATATCTCCACGCGTTCCCTTAATTAATAGTCTCGATAGACAGACAGACAACAAAGTGATTACATAAGAGTTCAATTTTTTCCTTTGTATATAAGGGTGCCTATTTTTTATTTATTTAACATTGGCACTTTATTATAATACACATATTGCTCGTTCGCTAAGTGATAAGTATCTATAATCACTCGTTATATAACAAGGAATAAGAAATGGACAGAAATCATGTCAAATATAAATGAGCGTTCGTCGTGAGATGAATAATTCAATAGAAAACTCCAGGAAAAATTAGACTTCGGCACAGTAACGTCTGATTCTACTAAGTAGCTTTTGTTATAAACAATAATTATCACGCGTGCTTTAAGTTGGATAGGGTTATTGAAAATAACATTAAATGTAGACACCGTACTTGCTATTAATAATATTCACATGCAATCTCCGCCTGAACCGGAGGAATTTCAGAGCTAACACTAAGTCATCACACGTAGGGTTGCCAATGTCACTTAATATATTAGACTCACCTGAACATTGGTTTTCGATTAATGAAAGTCTGATAATAGTATAATTTATATTACACTAACCGTTTTCGTTGACATCGCCCGCGTAAATTATAGGCTATGTCATTCGCGTATGATGTAAGCTACATCATCATCACCCGGAGGTGAAAGAATTTAAAAAGTCGATAATATTTTCGGAACCTCATCGGAATCACCTTTCATCGGAAAGTCGAAGCGAACGATCAAACCATTTCTCTTTATAAAGTTTAGGTACGGAATTAGAGACTCATAATAAGTATTGCATCATTTTAAAAATAAAAGAGCAAAAAAGAGGTAGTCAAATAAAAAAAAATATATATATAATATTTATAACAGAATTAAAAAACTTTTTTTTTTACTAAAAACCTTTCATACTAACCTCGACTTCGTCCAACCTCTCGGGCCAGGGATAGTAGATAGTGATATTGAGTTAAAAAAGGTGTTAATTAAAACAAAAAAAAAGTTGCTTACCAAATTCCAAGAACTTTTTAATATTAGCAGATAACAGTGGTCATTGAGTATACTCAATGACGATTTCGTAAGTTAATATATTTGAGGTCCTTTCAAGGGTTGAAAACTACTACGATCAGTTTAAAAAAGGTTGACAGCCCTCGGCCACATTCCAGTCGGAGGACGCCCCTAATTTCGCAAGTGACGCGCGAACATTTTTTAATCAACCCCCCCGTACACACGCCCAGTCTAATCGACCGAAAACAAAATGGCGACTCACGGCCGTTCGCAATTCAAAATGGAATGCGCAGAGGACGCTGAGCGATGGGTCCGTGAGTTTGAAGACTGCAATGATATTTAAAGAACGTTCGGGATTTATTGGAAGTGTTGATTTCCTTTTTTATACATATTTTGTTTCTTTTTGTACTGTTATATATAAATGCAATAAATGGTGTGTTCTTTTATGAAGCGCTAAAATATACTAAATATATTGCCCGTTGCACAAACGTACATTAAAATTTTCATTAGTTTATTTCCACAACGCCAATATCAATTTTCAAATTTAGAACATTCATTAGAATTTAAAGTCGTCATTCAACCATAATGGACGTTTATGCAACTGATCGACAGTTCTGAAGATTGGATTAAGTCATTTCAATTTAATAACGGCAATTATTAATTGTCAAAGATATGTTAATTAAAAAAAATTGATCAGTAACAATACCACGTTGGGCGCTAGTAAACACTAATTTAATAAGTATCAAAGATAAATATCTTTTACATAAATAATATGTACCCATTAATCTGTGTACGGGAGCTGACTTAAACGGTCTTGCTGGCCCTAAAGTACGTATATTTTTGCCACAAAACAAAACTTCAAACTTATTACTACATTTTTTTTCGGAAAAAACATTTAAAAATTAGAAGTCAAAAACACAAATAGATTAAAGTACTACAAATATTGCACAGTGATACCAGGAGAGGCTATAATCGCACAACACAGACCACTAATAGTAGTAATGGATTTGCCGAAACCAATAAAAGCGTATATAGACCGAACCGAGCGCATAAAATGGAAAGAACTTCACAGCTATAAGGGGTCCCAATGAAATGAAAATATCTTTATTCAAGTAAGCTTGTTACAAGCACTTTTGAATCGTCCAAAATCTTTTTTTCCTCTACAACTTGTTCAGGACGTCTTTTAACTGACAAGAAGAACAAGCAAATGAAACTTACCAGCTCTTTATCATAAGTAATGACATTTACACAAATCATGTCACCAGAATGCAATTACTGGAAAATACCAAAAACGTACATCTCTCTGATAAAAAATATGTACGCAGATGTTAGCTCCTGCCGGTGTTTCTGAGCCATTCAGAGTGAAAGATGGTGTCCACCAGGGTTCGGTGCTGAGCCCTGTACTTTTTAATTTCAAGGTGATTACATCACTAGAGACATCACAGATCCCGTGGTGCATATTGTACGCAGACGATATTGTACTAGTCGCAAAAACAGCATCGCAGTTACAACTAACTTTTATCACGTGGTTCCGTATACTTGAGGAGCACGGCCTACGAATCAGTCGTACTAATATTGAGTAGGGGAAGTTTGGCACCATTCGTACACGGGGAACCTTCATACAGTGATTACTACATCTTGTAGAAAAGTCTATTTATTACGACTTTGTGTCAGTGGATAGGCGCCGGCGACTGCCAGTTGTCCACGTAGTTAGCCACACATGCAGCCACTGCGAGCAAAACTAGAGAACTTAAAGTGTTTTGGCATGCTCATAGTAAATATTTTGTTAATGTTTTTGGATCTTCCGTGCTTTAATTACACGTCAAATTTTACTGGATTATTGCTTAATCGTAAGTGAATACGATTAAGATAATAATAATATATCTATTATGTGTATTTTTCTACGTGGGTTTTGTGTTAGAAATAATAATTTTACTCTTGATCTTCGGGGCTCGTTCGTACATTTCCAGCAAGGGCACATTCGTACGCGTATGTATGTACCCCCTAACCCCCTGTGTGCTAACAATTTTTATTATTATATCAGAAAATTTAGTAAAAATGATCGAAATTTTAAGAAGAAAAGGCAGACACGTTCCCAATATTCATTAAATGAGTTTTTTTGCGTCTGTTAAAGGTGTTTTCATATAGTAAAAAACAAATAGTTTTACTGAAAAGACTAATCAATTGAAAAAGTTCAAAAACACATTTCGGAATCACGATATTGGAAGTCACAACACTATCAAATGATTCTGATAAAGTTTTGAAATATACATATTTAACAAAATTATTATGAAACTGGCTTTGCTGATATAGAATGGATGCACGGTTTTCGTAAAAAAGATAGTTAGACTCTAAACGACATATAGGCATATGTTGTTCAGTTTATTACATCGTTGATTATTTTGAGATCAATGAAAACGATGCTTTTTAATTAATTTGTTATTTTACTTAATATATATGAAGTTACCACACTGTCTGAATGTTCCCCGGCCCATGTACGATTGTACCCCGTAATAGGGGTAGATTCGGACATTCATAAGCTTTTAGTAAAATTCAATCCTTTGATATATTATACAAGATATCGGCTTTGAACTTTTTAAATAAGGAGTAGAAAGTATGCTTTATGTTTTAATAAGTAATTGAGTAATTTATCTTTGATTATCA